ATCCCAGCCATCGAAAACCTTCGTTGTAATCTTATTCTTAGCATTCCACACCTTCTTGTAGGTTATCAAATACATAAATTCTTTTTTCACCATTTCTATGATAACAAGAATTGTTATATCTGGTGTAACCCGAACAAAACCCTCAATCCATTTCGAAATAAAGTCCGCATCAAGTTGACAGTGGTCCTAGTTCAATCGTGGGTAGAAATAAGTGTGAGATTCATATCCTGTGATCTCAAACATTCAAACATTCTATGCTTCACCTTGACGGGCGCCCGTAGCCTCTATTTGCACCCACATTCTAGGTGCATCTTGCACCTCAATACCATCGTGTTTTGTTTGTATCAACAACATATTGATGCAACTTTAATGAAAAAAATTTCACTGTCATCTCCAACTCTTTTTTATTCTTGAACATCATACCCTTCGACAATTCAAGTCTTGTCGAATCTCATGTTTTAAATTCATGCAAATTGCAATATCTGTCAACTTCATTTTGGGTTCCCAATTCAATATTTGTGAAGAATGTTGACTCGGGCTCATGCATAGGAACCTCTCCATCATTCTTGACAGAATTACCTTCAACATCATCATACTCATCAGTCAATAAATTTTCTGGCAATTCTTCTTGTTCATAGTACTCATTCCAGTTAAAAGCACACATTAATTCATACGTATTATTAGCAATCTGATGTATTACAAGTTCTTGAACGNTATCTGGTGTAACCCGAACAAAACCCTCAATCCATTTCGAAATAAAGTCCGCATCAAGTTGACAGTGGTCCTAGTTCAATCGTGGGTAGAAATAAGTGTGAGATTCATATCCTGTGATCTCAAACATTCAAACATTCTATGCTTCACCTTGACGGGCGCCCGTAGCCTCTATTTGCACCCACATTCTAGGTGCATCTTGCACCTCAATACCATCGTGTTTTGTTTGTATCAACAACATATTGATGCAACTTTAATGAAAAAAATTTCACTGTCATCTCCAACTCTTTTTTATTCTTGAACATCATACCCTTCGACAATTCAAGTCTTGTCGAATCTCATGTTTTAAATTCATGCAAATTGCAATATCTGTCAACTTCATTTTGGGTTCCCAATTCAATATTTGTGAAGAATGTTGACTCGGGCTCATGCATAGGAACCTCACCATCATTCTTGACAGAATTACCTTCAACATCATCATCATCATACTCATCAGTCAATAAATCTTCTGGCAATTCTTCTTGTTCATAGTACTCATTCCAGTTAAAAGCACACATTACTTCATACGTATTATTAGCAATCTGATGTATTACAAGTTCTTGAACGGGGTTCACTGGCGCCAACCTTGAGCTAACTGCAATCATATTCATCCGTTTGTTACCCATGGTAACACTGTAGTTTTGCTGAGATTAGCATTTGAAAAAAGTACTAGGCCCTATTTTTGACTGTGCATGTGTATATCGATTGTATTCTTTTATACACTGCATTGTTACAGGGATGTAATAATCATCAACCATTGCTGAAGGGCCAATCATTGGAATATATGGTTGTTGACTGAGTAGGGAAGAGTATGGACCACAATCAAGCCAACCTTCATTACTTCCACCAATGTCATCTGACCTAACCTCTTCACTCACATACAAATCCATTTTGCTGACACCTTCATTGTCAAATACAACATCCAACATTGCCTCCACACCATCATTGTCAAAATTTTCTAATGAAATATATGTAAAGAGGTTAGTTCCCAATGCAGTAGAAAATTNCACCAATGTCATCTGACCTAACCTCTTCACTCACATACAAATCCATTTTGCTGACACCTTCATTGTCAAATACAACATCCAACATTGCCTCCACACCATCATTGTCAAAATTTTCTAATGGAATATATGTAAAGAGGTTAGTTCCCAATGTAGTAGAAAATCTACAGATGAGCTTAAGGTTGTATTTATTCCTATCTATCCCTGTCACATAATGCAACCTATCCACCAAAGCCGAGTGATCCCTGTCACATAATGCAACCTATCCACCAAAGCCGAGTGACTTGTGTCATGAGCACACGCTTATAACTATTATTGNCAACCTATCCACCAAAGCCGAGTGATCCCTGTCACATAATGCAACCTATCCACCAAAACCGAGTGACTTGTGTCATGAGCACACGCTTATAACTATTATTGTACCCTAAAACATCATCATTCTTGGATATGTTACCAACCCAATAAACAATCACAGATGCACATCTACTAGCCATTCGTAATAATTCTACAATAAAGACATCAAAAATAACATTAGATGTCGTTTAGTGAAATTTGTAACTTTTTCTCAAACTCATAGTTTGGGAAAAAACTTAATATTTTTTCATATGCTCAAATGAAGTAGAATACAATATGCTCACATCAAGGGCATTAAGTAAAGTGCTAGGAAGAAAAAAATATGTTTATACAAAACAATCTCTAATTGGAACTTGAATAAGAATGTCAAGAATATAGACTTGAATAGATAAACAATGNTAGATGTCGTTTAGTGAAATTTGTAACTTTTTCTCAAACTCATAGTTTGGGAAAAAACTTAATATTTTTTCATATGCTCAAATGAAGTAGAATACAATATGCTCACATCAAGGGCATTAAGTAAAGTGCTAGGAAGAAAAAAATATTTTTATACAAAACAATCTCTAATTGGAACTTGAATAAGAATGTCAAGAATATAGACTTGAATAGATAATCAATANGGGTCGTCGGAGTTGTGATCAGCAATCGTTGGAGGATAGGGACAGAGATAGAGAGAGACTGCTCTGCAAAATCCTTCTCCCAGCTCATTTCTTTCGTCAGAGGAGTGGTCTTCGTCGATGGAGTGCCTTCATCGGAGGCAGCCGTCTGTGCCAAAGCGGTCTTCGTCGGAGATGTGGAGTGGAGAGGGTAAATGCAGAGATGGGTTTAGACAGTCGGGGCTTTTGTCCAATTTTAAACTTAGTCCGATTACACTATTACAATTTTATCCAATTGTAAAATGTCACGTTTTCAGCTAAGAAGAAATCATTTTAAATGACGTTTTTAAACAGAAATTGAATTTGAAAAATAATTTTAAAACTAATTGAGTTTGAAAATAAAGATAAAGATTTAGTAAGGGGTGCCTTTGGTCAAAAGCTCGTGAGGATATCTCGTGGTATCTTCAAAAGTTATGGGAAGTTCTATAAAGTTTCTCAAAATTTCAAGAAGCAAGCAGACATCATGTAACTGTAANATAAAGAAAAAAAAGGCGATCAATTTGAAGTGTTTCGATGGCTAGTGATTACTAACAAATTGGAGTCAATGTGCACCTAATTTGCATATTGAGTCGTGGTTTGGCAAGGTCAATTACATCATATCAGAATGCATACACAATGTGCCTTTGAGTTAAATATTGTGAATTATTGCTTGAGAAGTGCAAATTGATCTGAATATCCAATGCAATTATGTACCATTCGATTAGTAGGATAAAACATTTACTCAAACATTATTTTGCATAAGACTATAAAAGAGGATGCCCTGCATAAGTTATTAATTTTTTTCCCCCAGGGGACGGGGAAGCTAGGAAAGGGATGAGGTTGAAACGCACAACCACCCGTGGGCAGGATTGAGCTCTTATCACTAGGTCACTCCCTCATAAGTGACAATAATAGATGGTTAGAGTATCTTTCAACTTAAAATGACAATGTTTCTACTTATTTACATGGTAGTTTTGTATAGGTTGTGTCACTTCACGAACAAAGAGGCAAGGTGCATGAATCAAATAACCAATTTCAGTTTTAAATGCTAAACACGAAATCCTTTTCCAACTTTTAATATCCAAATATAATTGACCTCTTTTTTTTTTTTAAATTCGCCAAGTAAAAATGGATAGGAAGAGGCACTCAATCATGCACATCCCTTCTAGGACATGATGAAATAGCCTCGAGAAACAATGACACAGGACCCCAAATAGATTGGGAAAATCATAGACGGCCACTCGTATTTGGCTTAAATCTAAAAATCCGGGCATGCCAAAGCTCTCATGAGCTTGTGATTCCAATTATGGTGTAAACACCTCCTTCAACCCTTTGAACAATATCTCAACCCGAACTCCGCCAAAAGTTAGTTAGTAGTGCCAGTGTAACAGTAGGATAATCATGACACAATAACCATTATGTCATCGGCCGAGACTCGAACCCTCCACTACATGAATTTTTCCCATTACGCTTTTACCACCAGACCGTAACCTCAAGTAATCAAATGCAACTGAATTCAAAGCTCAACACACTCTAAATCACTCAGTTGAACTTGATTTCAATATCCATAACTGGATAAACATCTAATCTGGAAAGATTTCAACCAAAATCAGTACATTTACCCAATAGTACTTGCCAAAACTAAAGCAAAATCCAAAACAGTGACGGCAAAATTGAAGAGTGTGCGTTCGTTCCATGGTGTACAATTGAAGCAAAATCCAAAACATAACAAAATTAGTGACAACAAAATCGAATAAAGCCTCTGACTCTACCAATGTGGGCAGAAATTAGTGTTGTAGAGACAAAGAGAGCAAAATAGAGACAGGACAATACCTTCGGTGGGTCGTCGGAGTTGTGATCAGCAATCGTTGGAGGATAGGGACAGAGATAGAGAGAGACTGCTCTGCAAAATCCTTCTCCCAGCTCATTTCTTTCGTCAGAGGAGTGGTCTTCGTCGATGGAGTGCCTTCATCGGAGGCAGCCGTCTGTGCCAAAGCGGTCTTCGTCGGAGATGTGGAGTGGAGAGGGTAAATGCAGAGATGGGTTTAGACAGTCAGGGCTTTTGTCCAATTTTAAACTTAGTCCGATTACACTATTACAATTTTATCCAATTGTAAAATGTCACGTTTTCAGCTAAGAAGAAATCATTTTAAATGACGTTTTTAAACAGAAATTGAATTTGAAAAATAAGTTTAAAACTAATTGAGTTTGAAAATAAAGATAAAGATTTTGGAAGGGGTGCCTTTGGTCAAAAGCTCGTGAGGATATCTCATGGTATCTTCAAAAGTTATGGGAAGTTCTATAAAGTTTCTCAAAATTTCAAGAAGCAAGCAGACATCATGTAACTGTACNACCACGCTTTTCTTTCTTCTTTTCATTTAATTGTTGCACTCGCAATCTACCAGGCTTTTCTTTGGTCTTATGATTTTGTTGACTCTTTTCATTGTGCTCTTCATTAGCAATATTCTTCTCTTTCTGTTGGTTCTTCACCAAACCAGCACTCTTTTTTATGTTCATTTGGCTCTCTTGGTTCTTGTCCAACACACCATGCTTTTCTTTGTTCGTTCCATAGAGCTGCGGCTTTCGCAATCTACCAGGCATTTCTTTGGTCTTATGATTCTGTTGACTCTTTTCATTGTGCTCTCCGTCAGTAATATTCTTCTCTTTCATTTCCATAGTATTTAATTTCTTCTTAACCTCTTTCTCACTATTGGTGCATTCTTTGATGCCTTCTGACATGCTCTTTTTCTTCTTGCTTTTTGTACCCTGAATCTGTGGAGTACCTTCCAATTTATTGATTATGATAAGATTGTTAGTTGATTTCTTCTCAATCTTTCGATTGGGAGTCAAAGCTGTTCGACTTTTATGCTCAGACGATACTGGTTCGGATACGGCTTCAGCAGCATTCTCAGATTTCTTCTTTTTTCCCCGTGCCATTGCCTACCACCAGAAATGTATTTCTGGAAACAATAGTAATCATCATTATGACAAACCTTCAATACTTTTTTTTTTTAAATAATTTTTTTTTTTTTCGGGGAGGGGGAGGGGAAAGGGGACTTGAACCCTTGACCTCAAGAAGACAAAACTTTCACAACGCAATAAGTACCCCTTCGATACTCAGTCATCCAGGCAAAGACTTCATAACGCAAGGAATACCCCTTCGATACTCAGTCATCCACCCAACAGGATAAGAAATTGAAATGGGAAATGAGGGGGGAAGGATATACAGCTAGATCAACAATTGTCATGACAGAAATGAGTTAAAGAATTCATACAAACAAATATCTTTGTAATGGCTTCACAATTTGATAATCATATATGCTGAACCTGTTCTTTTAAACAAAGCAAGCAGTTTATCCAAGGGAATATTGAAAATGCAATCCAACCATGAGGAAAACAAGGACACCGAAAATTATGATGACAGAAAAGAGTCGCAGACATTCATACAAACTAATGACTGTCATGGCTCCACAAGTTCACAATCAGATAGACTGAATCTGTGCTTTTAAACGAGGCAAACAATTTATCCAAGGGAATATTGAAAAAAACAATCCAACCATGAAGAAAATGAGAACACCTATGGTAGATATAAAATCTGATAAATGAGCGATATATTTCATTCTTTTTGTAAATTTTTCCTAGATGTACAGTCTTTAGCAAGCATTCAATCTAAACAAACAATATTGCCGAAAGTACTGACCATGATTATTCAAGAAACTAATAGCAACACCTAAGGAAAAGATAAAACACTAAAGTGTCTCAAATCCCCCATATACTATGAGCACAACCTGTAAGAATTTGGATCAAAATAACGATAGAGCCAAATAATGATAGAGTAGATCATCATAGAGCCAAGTAAATATTCAATGTAAAGGTGACACCACATCATCATCGTCACGTAGGGTCACCAACCAATCATGCATAAACAAGTAAGATAAGTAAACCCTACTAATTCCATATTGTAGTTATTGGATGTGGAAGTTATTGACGATTATAGAATTTGGGGGAAGTGTATTAAGGATCTTCCCATCACGATTATACATGTGGAACTACACGGATGACCTAGACGGGGAGGGAGGTTGAATAGGTTTTTAACACTTCCCGCTTTAACAATCACCAATTTTAAGCCTATTAACCACAATTTCAAAATTAATTAATTAACTAATTGGTCAATTAAGTCCGTTGAACCCCTTTTCCCTTCAAGAACAAAACCCTCCATGGATGAATATATGCGAACTATGCATGTCAACAATAAAACAACATTTCAATCCAATCCACCTTGTCCCTCCAACCACCAATTCAACCACAATGATGAATATGTATGATATAGAAATCAATGAATCATTCTATCAAACACATTGTGTGCAGCAGCAGAGCCAGAAGTTTGACATTGTGGGGGCAAAAAGTTTAACAACAATAATATGCATGTACTTAATTCAGTGACTTAATCTAGAGACTCATTACATTAGTAGCGTTGGTTTAGCAAAATAGACTGCATTCAATGTTGAGACCTGATTTATTCAATGATGATAATATATAAAATTCTTAAATTAGGTCCCAAATATTTCACTTTTAAAAATAGTAAGCTTAAAAATTTTGGACTAATAATGAATAAAAATAGGTTATCTAGTGAGTGAATTCCCGTTACCACAAAATCTAGGAAGGGTCAAATATGTGCAATCTTACTACATGAAGGGATAATTCTACAATTTCAATGGAGACATTTCTTTCCACAGGTGCCAGATAATTGTATTCAAATATTCTCTGAATGTTCACAGCAACCAAGGAAGAATCTCATAGTTATATGGGGACAATGGAGTAGAAAAATCATTTGGAAGCTCTCCACAATCCTCTAATACCCATTATTTCTCTCAAAATTTTAGTAGTTCAATTATTTCACCGAAAATTCTTCGCCATATTGAAATTGGCGACGGGCAAATGATTTCAGAATATTGCAAAACAATCAGAAATATTCGAGTAAGATCGGATGGTAAAAAATCATAAAGTTTACGTAACAAAACACAAAAATCCATCAAAATTAGCGAAAAAGTCACATCTTGAGATGACAATGAAGCAAACCCTAGAAGACAATGGGCCAAAAAAAAATACATATCATTCAAAAGAACCGGCCTACAAGAGACAACAGGCGTGTGAATATATATTTGGGGCGGGGGTGGGGAGAGAGAGAGTACCTTGAGAGAAGCTGATAGATCTTTCCGAAGTTGGGGAGGGGGAGAGAGAGAGACTCGTCTTGACTTCGTTCGATGTGGCGGAACAAATACACTCAATACGGTGTCGTTTCTACACCCAAAATGATACCGTTTGCTTAAACTATTGATAATGCCTGCAATTGCCTGCCGTTTACCAATTGCAAACCACGACAAATCTAAGGGGCCTAAGTGTAATTTATCTATTTAGTTTTAACGGACAGACTTATTTATTTGAGAGTACAAATTAAAATTTTTTATCTTTGAGGGTACAAATTTAGATTTAAGAGATCTTTCAAGGTATAATTTGCAATTAACCTAAATTATTTCTAAGAGATTATTAAATCAAAAAAGTCATAATTATTCTTAAATAGTTATATAAAGTCATATTAGTGTCATATTAAATTTCAATTATGAATTTTAACCATTGATCTCTTTTTTTTCTTGATCAATCTTGTAAAGATAAATGTATCATTAATATCCTTTTATCTTTTTAAATTAATTGCATAATCTTCTTATAACCTTTCATCTACTAATTTTTTTTTTTTAACAAAACAAAGTATGTATGTAACATTTTATTATAGTCATTGGAGCCCTCAACTATTGATTTTATTGCATTCATGTTTTAAGCCTCCAACGAACTAAACATTATATTCAACATTTTTATATGAGAAAATTATACTTAGACTCATGAAGTTTGTCACTTAATCACTCAGATTCTTTGACATTTGAAATATTACACACAGACCATCTGAGGTTTGTATGCGCATAACACTTAGATCCCTGTTGTAAATATATCATTTAATAAAGTTTGTAGATATATAATAATTAGAGTCCTTAAGTTTAAAATATTATACTTAGACAAAAAATACTCCAATCAAAGATAAAATATCAAATATTTTAAATTTTTACAACCAAAATTCATATTCGATTGTATCATTTATTGAAATAAAATCAAAAATAAAATTTTAATTTTTTTCTTAAAAAATCATAAATAGTTTACAATTATATTATTTATTAAAATTTAATTTGGTCGTTTAAACAACCAAATTAAATACCAAACTACCCCAATTAAAACTAAAAGATATTGTGACCATTACAGTTTGACTCCTTGTTTAATTTTTTAGTTTTATTCTAATAGATAGTATAATTATATACTAACTATGATTTTTTTTAAAAAAACTAAACTTTTATTTTTGATTTTATTTCAATAAATAAAATAATAGAATATAAATTTTAAATGTAAAATTCATGTTCTATTATGAATGTCTTAGACCCCTTATTTAATNTCAAATCCCCCATATACTATGAGCACAACCTGTAAGAATTTGGATCAAAATAACGATAGAGCCAAATAATGATAGAGTAGATCATCATAGAGCCAAGTAAATATTCAATGTAAACGTGACACCACATCATCATCGTCACGTAGGGTCACCAACCAATCATGCATAAACAAGTAAGGTAAGTAAACCCTACTAATTCCATATTGTAGTTATTGGATGTGGAAGTTATTGATGATTATAGAATTTGGGGGAAGTGTATTAAGGATCTTCCCATCACGATTATACATGTGGAACTACACGGATGACCTAGACGGGGAGGGAGGTTGAATAGGTTTTTAACACTTCCCGCTTTAACAATCACCAATTTTAAGCCTATTAACCACAATTTCAAAATTAATTAATTAACTAATTGGTCAATTAAGTCCGTTGAACCCCTTTTCCCTTCAAGAACAAAACCCTCCATGGATGAATATATGCGAACTATGCATGTCAACAATAAAACAACATTTCAATCCAATCCACCTTGTCCCTCCAACCACCAATTCAACCACAATGATGAATATGTATGATATAGAAATCAATGAATCATTCTATCAAACACATTGTGTGCAGCAGCAGAGCCAGAAGTTTGACACTGTGGGGGCAAAAAGTTTAACAACAATAATATGCATGTACTTAATTCAGTGACTTAATCTAGAGACTCATTACATTAGTAGCGTTGGTTTAGCAAAATAGACTGCATTCAATGTTGAGACCTGATTTATTCAATGATGATAATATATAAAATTCTTAAATTAGGTCCCAAATATTTCACTTTTAAAAATAGTAAGCTTAAAAATTTTGGACTAATAATGAATAAAAATAGGTTATCTAGTGAGTGAATTCCCGTTACCACAAAATCTAGGAAGGGTCAAATATGTGCAATCTTACTACATGAAGGGATAATTCTACAATTTCAATGGAGACATTTCTTTCCACAGGTGCCAGATAATTGTATTCAAATATTCTCTGAATGTTCACAGCAACCAAGGAAGAATCTCATAGTTATATGGGGACAATGGAGTAGAAAAATCATTTGGAAGCTCTCCACAATCCTCTAATACCCATTATTTCTCTCAAAATTTTAGTAGTTCAATTATTTCACCGAAAATTCTTCGCCATATTGAAATTGGCGACGGGCAAATGATTTCAGAATATTGCAAAACAATCAGAAATATTCGAGTAAGATCGGATGGTAAAAAATCATAAAGTTTACGTAACAAAACACAAAAATCCATCAAAATTAGCGAAAAAGTCACATCTTGAGATGACAATGAAGCAAACCCTAGAAGACAATGGGAAANTTAGCGAAAAAGTCACATCTTGAGATGACAATGAAGCAAACCCTAGAAGACAATGGGCCAAAAAAAAATACATATCATTCAAAAGAACCGGCCTACAAGAGACAACAGGCGTGTGAATATATATTTGGGGCGGGGGTGGGGAGAGAGAGAGTACCTTGAGAGAAGCTGATAGATCTTTCCGAAGTTGGGGAGGGGGAGAGAGAGAGACTCGTCTTGACTTCGTTCGATGTGGCGGAACAAATACACTCAATACGGTGTCGTTTCTACACCCAAAATGATACCGTTTGCTTAAACTATTGATAATGCCTGCAATTGCCTGCCGTTTACCAATTGCAAACCACGACAAATCTAAGGGGCCTAAGTGTAATTTATCTATTTAGTTTTAACGGACAGACTTATTTATTTGAGAGTACAAATTAAAATTTTTTATCTTTGAGGGTACAAATTTAGATTTAAGAGATCTTTCAAGGTATAATTTGCAATTAACCTAAATTATTTCTAAGAGATTATTAAATCAAAAAAGTCATAATTATTCTTAAATAGTTATATAAAGTCATATTAGTGTCATATTAAATTTCAATTATGAATTTTAACCATTGATCTCTTTTTTTTCTTGATCAATCTTGTAAAGATAAATGTATCATTAATATCCTTTTATCTTTTTAAATTAATTGCATAATCTTCTTATAACCTTTCATCTACTAATTTTTTTTTTTTAACAAAACAAAGTATGTATGTAACATTTTATTATAGTCATTGGAGCCCTCAACTATTGATTTTATTGCATTCATGTTTTAAGCCTCCAACGAACTAAACATTATATTCAACATTTTTATATGAGAAAATTATACTTAGACTCATGAAGTTTGTCACTTAATCACTCAGATTCTTTGACATTTGAAATATTACACACAGACCATCTGAGGTTTGTATGCGCATAACACTTAGATCCCTGTTGTAAATATATCATTTAATAAAGTTTGTAGATATATAATAATTAGAGTCCTTAAGTTTAAAATATTATACTTAGACAAAAAATACTCCAATCAAAGATAAAATATCAAATATTTTAAATTTTTACAACCAAAATTCATATTCGATTGTATCATTTATTGAAATAAAATCAAAAATAAAATTTTAATTTTTTTCTTAAAAAATCATAAATAGTTTACAATTATATTATTTATTAAAATTTAATTTGGTCGTTTAAACAACCAAATTAAATACCAAACTACCCCAATTAAAGCTAAAAGATATTGTGACCATTACAGTTTGACTCCTTGTTTAATTTTTTAGTTTTATTCTAATAGATAGTATAATTATATACTAACTATGATTTTTTTTAAAAAAACTAAACTTTTATTTTTGATTTTATTTCAATAAATAAAATAATAGAATATAAATTTTAAATGTAAAATTCATGTTCTATTATGAATGTCTTAGACCCCTTATTTAATTTTTTTAGTTTTATTCTAATAGATACTATAATTGTATACTAGTTACGATTTTTTAAGAAAAAATAAATTTTTAATTTTAATTTTATTTCAATAAATGATACAATATAGAATATGAATTTTCGTTGTAAAATTTAAAATATTTGATATTCTATATTTGATTAAAGTATTTTTGGTCTAAGAATAATATTTTAAATTTAAGGGATCTAAGTATTATATACTTACAAACTTTATGGAGGTTTAAGTATAATTTATTAATAGATATTTTTACAATAGGGGGTCTAAGTGTTATACACATACAAATTTTAGGGGTCTGTATATAATATTTCAAATGTCGAAGTGTCTGAGTGATTAAGCGACAAACTTCAGAGGGTCTGAGTGTAATTCTACCTTTTTGTATTAATAGCTGATCTATAAGATCTTGAAGTGGGTCCCCCGGTCTTGATTGAGATTTTTCGTCACTATTAAGAACTTGATTTCATGAATGAGGATTATCAAGAGTGTTTTGGTCTATCTGTAGTATTGGTTAATGCAGTGAATAACATACCAACATTATTAGTGTCATCAAAATAATTTTCTTTTCTTTTTTCTTTTTTCTTTTTCTCATTTGTCCTCATTCAAGAAATGAGTTCACCTCAAATTTTGTTTTCATTTTTGCTTCTTCTAAATACTAATACAGATTGCGAATATGTAATTTAATTTATAACATGATACCATGTTGTATGTATATCGATGATACAAGAAATTAAAGTATAAGACATAATAGAAATAAGAAAGATAGGAAAAAGGTCGTTAGGCAAGACACGATACTCGTTATCTTCGAGATAGTAATTTCTCCATTATGATGCAAATGGACTCATGAAAATTCTATCCCCATGATACAATGCTTATCATTTAAGGCTATCAAAAACNACTATTGATAATGCCTGCAATTGCCTGCCGTTTACCAATTGCAAACCACG